GTACAATTCTAATGGCCTGAATTTGACACGAAATTTTACATAGCACATAGTGAATCGTTTTTAAACAGTCTATGGTAGCTTTTGAGTTCAATGTATGTCAAAAAAATGGCAGACAGATTGCGGTATAATTTTCGAAAAGCAGTCAAAAAATGACCAGCTAGCTTTATACAACGCATCTGGTAAACATTTTGGAAGCCAAACTATTTTTCAAAATAATCCTTTATTTAAGCATTTATTTTGTGAGCTAATTGTCAGTCAATCACCGAAATGTCCCCTTCATTCCACCATCATGTATTCATGCATCCATTGGGTTTAAATCATGCGGATATTTTGAGGCAAGCAAATGCCCCACGGATAAATTTAGACAAAATCTATATTGTGAACAAAAATGGCCATCTGCTTTGGATACTGAGGAATCCCGAAGGACGTGGCTAAGTCACTCATGGGGCAGCGCACCAATCGATGACTAATCACGCAGAATATTCAGCAGTGGTCAACTTGCTTCCCGGAGAAGTATTCGGCGTAGTTGGACCAACAAAGTCGCACTTTGAAAAGGCGTACCTTAATTCATTATATCCAGTCATCTATTCAGTGTAAATATGTAAACGGCTATAATGGAACAACTATCATCTTTGTTCAGGTAGGCCAGACTAATAAGTAACATGACACAGGCTGTTAAGCGACTCAATTTTTTCAAGGATTTCACTGTTTTACATTTTTTTCATCCAAACAAAGTTACAAGAGATAGCCAAATCCATCAGATGATAAGTGGTTGCTTGTTAGTGAGAAGAAAACTTATTACACTTACCTTTCTTTTGATTCCTTGGTATTTCGATCGATAAGCCTGAAAGATCGGGAAAATTTAGCTTTCTATTCACCTACAATGCGGTGACACAATTGCAGCATTTCATTTCATTTACAAAAGATGTGCTCTGGCAATGCTAAAGATTATGCTTAAAACGGCCTTGGAAACATCATGACGCAAATTTATTTTAATGCCACTTCTTGATGTACAGGTCTAGAAATCCAAATCGTTCAACCTCTTCGACCTCCAGACGCCATGACACCAGAGGGAACCAGGAGGGCTGGGATAATGCCAGGTTGCCAAGCTTAAATATAGATAGATATGCAAAAGTCAGGTCCGAACCAAGGAATTTTTGGTCAGTAAATCTATACCCTAACCACTGAGCCATCTTGCTTGCATGTGCAGCTATGCACGTGTGGAAAACGTGCTTTCACTATTTCCATTGATGCATCAATGAACATCAGCGTGCTACAAATGGCTCAGTTGTCTAGCTCTGTCTGCATGAATTTGCAAATTATCCCACCAGCTCGCTGCGCTAATCGGGCTACAACTTAAGTTGTTAACACCCGGGTATCACCTCCCTTGATTAATACCGTCTGAGGAGGATTCAATCAAGGTCTTATACAATCTAGGGCGGTTTTCTATTCCGAAGGTGGTCATCGGTAGCATAATTTGATGGACTAATTTTGCAGCGGTGACACTGTACAATCTTCTTCTCTGAAATCACCTTTGTGAAGATCTTTAAGATGGTTTTTCTTCATGAAGTACATTGGTTTCCAAATTATCTCAAATGTGTCCGTCTTTGGAAAATTCGATTTGGCTTTATGAACCAATCGCTCGGTGGTATCGTTATCATAAGTTATTATAAGTGAATGTTGACAAGGTTTGGCTATGATAGCGGACAAAAGACGTTATAAATTACGTGTATAAATTACGACGTTGTAGTATTTGGGACTGAATCCATGGGACAACTCGCTGGTTTACGTTTATTATAATTCAGGCATGTTTTTTGGTTTGCAGGCTTCAATTGGGAACAAAACCATATTCTGTGTTGTTCAAATAAATAAGGCACTTATAAAGATCTCATCAAAACGATTTTATTGCATGCTTTGACTGTGCAGCCTGTTCTGCTAATCAATTTTACCGATGTGTTTCGAAAAATGCACGGAAAACGAATGTCTCTGAAGAAAATGTCCCGGTTAACTTGTGAAAGTCCAGTTTTCCGTCAAAGCAAGTAATGCGTGATTGCTAGCGAGTCATTTGGGTGCGACATTGAAATTCAATAAAATCGGCTGCGTTTCATATTTTGTGATCTACGTTACCTCCGAATTGCGTAACACCACTTATTTTCTAATTCGGTTCTATCTACGACTCGCGATGTTACGTTGCACAGGTGCGATAATGAAAGAGTAGCATGCGTCTCCTGGAACATCCTTGGAGATTTTCTTTTAAAATTGGATCTTAGGTACATATATAAACCACCATTTAATTTTCTGATAAGGATGCCAATGTAATCAATTTTTCGTATGAACAAACACACAATGATCTTGCTCTTACGAACTTTTTCAAATATGGAAAAAACGGAGAGAATTAAAATGAAACACATTGCATATTCAGTAAAACAATATTACGCATCCGTTGACATTGATACAAATGAACATTGCAACGTAGAAAAACAATCTACATCAGAATGTAATAGTCTTATGTACACACGGCACACTTTAGGCTCTTTCAAAGGGCCCCGTTTTTAGTTAACATAGTGCATTAGAAACATTCATGCAACGTGGTTGGATGCCTGAATATGAACGTGGTTGTTTAATACAGCCTTTGAATTCTAACAACAAACAACCTTAGAGCTCGGTGCACTAAATCAAAGGGAGCAGGTGTCCACAAAAACCGTAAGGGCGACTGATACGTTCTCTTAATACAAGGATGATTTGGCCTCATGTGCGGACGATATTGAAGCATTCCAAACCGGGTTGTCTGGATAGTGCACTAGGAAAAAACATTTCATTGAACTCACGTCCGACTGGAAATAATTCACCCCCGCACATTTACTTTAGTAAACCAAAATCAGATGCTCAGATTTCAGGAAAAATTTACAGCGTTTACTCAAAAAGTTACAGTGAGAGAGCTCAGTTTATAATTAATCTCAAAGACAGCATTGTCGATGGTCAACAGTTTCCAAAGACAAGCCATCCATTTGACCCACTGTCACATTACACCTACCTCAAACATGAGGATACAGGAGAATACACATTTTTTACTTAGCACAGCTGTTCACACGCCCATCTGCTGCGAACCGCATCTCCAAAGTTACTTCGTGGCCATCTGCACCATCTATATTATGTACTCTATAAGAACTTGTTTACTGGTCAAGGACGAATACACTGACATTGAAAGAATAGCCGCTTACAATCCGGACAATCAGCGGAGCTTTATCCTGAACACTTCATTGGATACCGGTCACTTAAAACCACAGATCAAACTACGCTTTGAGAATTTTAATTAAGATACAAAAGTTCTTAAGATGGAAACAGATGAATAGTATTATGCCTGAGCCGCACATCATTTGGCCACTTATTGGAAATCATACTAAAAACGTAAACGCTGAAGAGATTCTGTTGACGTGAAAACTACACAAAGATTGACCACTGCAAAGCACGTAGATATCGCTAAATAAATAACACCAAATAAAACACATATGCGGTAAATTAGGGCAATACTGTACATTAAAGCACACGTTTGGCAGTAAATGCTTGAATGAGTATCTTTCTCCCGTTTTAGAGGCATGTCCATACCTAACAGAGAATGCATTATGGTATTCTATCTTAGTTACATTTCCCCACGTAAGCACCACAGAAAGCAGATTTTTAGATCGAAAAGCATGGTCACCGTACAAACCCTACAATTATTATCACATCGTTGACGAACTAATTTTCTTACCGTTAATTATTATCGGTATTCGTGTACAAAGGCACAGCCTGACCACCGTATAGGCGACTGCGACCAAGTAGTATGCTACTGATACCGGCACACTGATATCACCGCGTTTCTGATCCAGAGATGTAAGATACGTTTAATTCCTTCAGCCTGATTGACAAATATACGCTACAAGCAACAATATTATCGGACCGAAATTGAATGAGACGCGCTTGGCATTGGTGGGACAAGGGGTGGTATAGCGACAATATTGGACTAATCAGGTAGTTATCAATTCAATTTGAAGTAGAAACGTCCTCTTAAAATTAACCGTCAGAAATTTGGTCGTAGCGTTGCAGTCACACGGCGGCGGTTAATGTACGAACATCATCTGCCACAGTTTTATGACATAGTCGACCACATTTGTACCTATAGTTCCATATTTGTTTTTATGCTGACGTTGCGGAACCCAGTATTGGTGCGAATACGGCAGCCAAATAAGCAGTAAAAAGCCGTTTGAACTGCATACGTTGTTTTAATGTTTATCCTTACTCGTACTATCTCAAAGCAAACGCCATACTCTTTGAAATGAAAAGTGGTCATTCAATTACTGGAAACCTACGAAGCAGATCATCAATTTTTTGGTCCACATATCGAGCTTGAAAGAACAACAAAGACAGATTTGAGAGCATTTTTACACAGTTTGACTATATTAAATGTGAAACATACGCACCCCATTTAGTAAGGATAGTAACGCAGAATATTCTTGTTGCTCAAAAGCAGCTCTATTTGAAAAAAGTTTAAAAATTGTCTCTCAATTTGTCAATTTTGTGCCATAGGTTAGCATCCAAGTTGTGAATCGCACCCGCTACCATATTACCCTCTTCGAAGTGAATTATTTCAGTTATTCTAATAATTGCAAGGAGTAGTTACAAAATCGCATAATTTATTCAAAACTTTCATAGTAGCGTTTCAACGTCCTTGATCGGCGAACTTATAATTTTAGCCTGTCAATCACCTGCGTGTCTTGGTAGTTTAGGCGCGTGCATTTGTGCAATTTTTGGAAGGCTCCAAAAGGTTTTTCTCTAGGTAACTAAAAGTACAAAACACACAATGATTTCCTTAGGAACTGTGCATTTGTGCTTCTTCCAGCATTAATCTGGCTGATTTAACGGACGATTTACTTGTGCAGTTCTGTATATAATGCTGAGTTTGTCGGTTTTGTCCTCATATCAATTCTCGCCCTTTCTGTCACTTCTCCCCTTCTTTCTAGGCTTACCGTTTGGGTGATTGAACGTCATCAAGAGAGAAGTGCTGGATTTAAGTTTTTGGCTCTAGTTAGAGATAATTTACAATGCCTAAATGTTTTCACCACAGAATCTCTTATTTGTAGTATTTATTGTCAAAATTAAAGGGGATTTTGGTGTAGAAGAGCGATTTTACGGTCAAATTGCTCGGAGTGAAAAGACAAAATGATTCATCTCTTCTAACAGTGAAGTGCTTTCAGTCCGATTGTCAGTGGGATTGTCGTGCGTGAAGTTTATTCCCATCGTTCACTCTCGATAATAACGTGAGCGTAAATCCCCTGCCAGATGATGCCAGCATTTTGGCGCCTTCGGGTTTTGGATACGATTTCAACACCAATGAAATATATTCACAAGTATTTCGGAATGCTAAAATTTTACGCACAACAGCAATTGGTGGTGCGCGAAGTTTTCAATGTCACTATCGTCGTGTTAATTTTATTTCTAAGCTCAAAGACTGGTTGCCAAAACGCAGTGCAGCAGCCGATTTTGCCAAGAATAAGATCAATGATGAAAGAAAAGCAATATGTTGAAGACAATGACATAATCATCGAAAGTTTATCCCGGCATGGTATAACAAAACCAAGAAGCTACGCAGTTACCATGGTAGTTTTCGTGCACGACCACCCTTAGTTTCATGACAGAAGCGTATTTATCGGAGGCACTAACCATCGATTTGACTTGCTGCGCGATGTCATATTGGGAGTTAACATTAATCAGTGCAAGTTAACTGGCAGAGTATTTTTTTCTTGTTTTGGATCGTACAAATTTAAGGCCCCTGTGTCGTCTCTATTTGAACAAGCTTGGATGAACAGTGTGCATCACCCAAGCAGCCCTCTGGTTTAGAAATTTCTTGGTCCGGCTAGCGAACTATAGAGATCGTCGCTAAACGACCATTCGAGTAAGAACAAGATTTCCCGCAAATTAACTTACGTACCTCAACAGTCCCAGTTTCTCCTCTCTCCGAAGCCCGCGAAATGCCTCAGATGCGCCGACTGCCGAAAAAAGTGGGCCCCACACGACGGCTGGGTCTCTGTTCCATAGAGTGAAAATGATCAAACCCCATAATATACGACACAATATTTGCAGTCAAGCTGTTGTCACATCCGTGCCACAGCAGTAGGTTGTTAAAAAGGCTCTCCAGGCCTACTTCATTCGAGGAATGCTTTCGCCTTTCATTATTACGCCGGAACAATCGCAGTTGCCCAGCTAGGTGAACCTGTTTCAAAAATTGATCGGTTAATCTGAGGGCAAGGGGTTTTAATTTCGTCCCAGTAAATTCCACAGCGGCGATTTTAAGTCTGTGGTTGCGGAGCGTATCTCAAACTGTGCAGTACATTTAACTGGGCGGTTAACAGAAGTTGCATTTCGAAACGTTCCAAACTAACGAGCGCATGGTACTTAACGAACGCTTCGGATGACCTCTGTCCTCCGAGAATTTAAAGAAAGCCAAAGAAACTGCGGGCAGGTTTACATTACGCAGTTGGAGAGTGGAGGGACGACATAAATCTTTGCCAGACACTGCTGGATGTGGCTAATGCTGAGGAGTGTCCAGCTTAAAATACGTATGCCTTCATAATGGAGGCATGTGAAACCATCATCGGAACAGTCGGACACCGCCAGGCCTTCTGGTGATCAGCGGGGACAAAAGTTTATTTCAGGTCAAGAACTACGAGCATTTCTGATCGCTAATGGTGCCGCCATATTTCAAAAGCGGCCTAAAATTCACGCAAACCTGACCACTGCAAAACTCGGCTTAATCTTGCGAATCGCGTTCCAATTATAGGAGACCTGCCCAGTAATATGCCAGAGATATTCAAAACACACAGCCACAAGTTCGTTATACTCTTCGGTTCTGTGGAACGTACGTGGGGCGTTTTTGGAATCAGGATAGCCATTAAATCGTTTAACTCTCTTACACGATCATTTTATCCTTGACATTTTGTCGTGGGGTCGTAAGTATAACCGTGATGGACCGGCCACGCGCTGTAAAGGACGCAGTGCGCACGATCTCCAGCCCGGGCCATTTTCGAGCAGACGTCGTTCACGATCACGTTTCGAATAACGGATTGGGTCCAAGCGTTACGCTTCGTAGACAGGGTGCAATCGGTCCCGTTGCAAAGGCTTTTTTCTATTTTCTGGCTGGTGCAAACAATCTGCAATAACCATTGGTTACTAGGTCCTTCAGTTGAGCATTCTTTGTAAAGCAACGCACTTGGAGTTTAGTACGTTCTTTTTTAAAAAAATGAGAACTGAATGCAAGATGCTACAATATCAAGGGAATCAGGTGATCTCATTTTCCAAAGATGATGAAATACTTGGCATTTAGATTGCGAATGGCGTGACACCAGCAATATCGGTTTAAATGGATCGTCCCGCTATTGCGCCTCTGTTGTTTTGTTGAATACTGTATTCTGGCTGCTCTGATTTCCCGTTGCTTCTTGCTTGCTTTACAATTTAATTCTTCTTCCTGTTGATTTTTTGACCAGGTAAAGATATAATTTTAACAACCAATTTCTTTGTCCCACACGGATGTTCCTTTTTAATGCCATGCTATCGCCCGTATTTTAGCTCGGCTGTTCTCTAAACTGCCGTTTTTTAGTGAGCAATCTGATTTAACTTTGGTATCCTTTGGGGATAGATCTTCACGTGGAGTAGCACGACACTAGCTTCATTGTTCCTTTTAGAAGATAATCTTTTTCTCAAAAACCTATAATTTTCAACTTTAAAATATGTTACGAACCATTGTTTGTTATTGAAAATGCCAGAAAGTTATAGTGAAACTGAACGGAAATGACTGCTTCCAAGCATATGTTTAGACCATAACCCTAAAACAAATGCCCAAGTTTGTTGCAGTGATGAACGTATGTTTCGGGAAATCTGCACATTACCAGCGGTAGACTACGGGCAGTACAGTTGCAGTTTCAGCCATGACTCAGCCAATCAAACAGTACAACCGAAATGGGTGTTGGCAGTTTTCGCCGCCAGGTCGCTGCTTTGTGCCTTTCAATGGTAGAATGTTCTCCGCACGGTTCTGTTTTTGCCTCAATCCGTAAGACGACGGCTCTCAATAATTTACCAGGGGATAGTACAGACAGCTTCGGTGAGGCCGAAACTAGGCATCCGTGTGTGCATTGTTGGGATATGTGCGGTCGCCTCCTCGCTCCCTTGTCTAGTACACCCGTGTTCATTAGATCACGCGACTTCTTTGTTCCGCAAACGCACCAATTATGAGACCAGTCTCTGTTTCAAACTGAACCGACAGGTCAGGTCCCGTCTTGTACGCAGTGGAACGGTTTTACATATTATATACGCGTCAAACCCTCCTATATATGGGAAGACACGACACAGTCAACACACCCGCGCCCGCACGGGGGGCATGGCGTCAAACAAACTGTTCAGGCCCATAGGCAATCACGGAACACATGTGGCAGCTATACTGGCGAGCAAACACGTTCCTGCCGTCCGGATTTTTCAAGAAGGAACCCGCACTAGTTATCCTCAAATGAAACGTCACATACTGACTTATTTCATTGTTCGCTCGGTATTTATTTTGTCACGGTCCAACCGGTGACTTTAAGCCACCAGCTCTATTAAAACAGTCATTATTGTATATACCGTCTGATTGGCATATGGCCATCGTCAACCGTGCACTGATAACGGGTGCGCCAGACGTGACTAACAACCGACGTGGTATACATAAAAAACATGCAAACATATATGCACACATTCACACATGCATATATACATACATGTCTTTCAGTGCAATGTTTCGATGAATACGACAAACTGTCCGAAGTCGAAACCGGAACTCCGCTCAGTTATCCACACTGTGTCACAGATGTGGAAGCTACTCGGGATCTTGGTGACGGATGAAGGGGCCAATACATATCATATGCTTCATTCTTGTCATGTTTGACACATGCGCGAGTGTTAATGTCTTCACTGGCGCTGGAGGAAATTTCATTAAACGCGCATCCGATGTTTCCAAGTACTTTGTCGGGCACCATTTGAAACAAATATCTCTATTTCAGTGACTGATAATTATCTGTCAAGCATAACGTTTTTTCTTCATTTAACGCGTACCTTTGCCGTCCAACAAACTTTCGCCTTTCAAAATAGGGATAATAGAAAATTCGTACTGATCAACATTTTACCCATAGTGTCATGTCCTTTAGAGCTTTCTATAAGTGATATGAAGTAAAAACCATTCTCTCATGCGAGATAATAACGTCTGGAAGTGGATTCAAGATACCAGTGGTAAAGTATTCAGTATTTTAACTGTCAAATATTTTGATGTTTGAAAGGCAGCTGAGATCCTCTGCGAGATGATGAACTTCCACAGATTTCCATCTTTCTGTCGTTTAAGCCACCAACAATGCATCTAGTTTTTGTAAGTTTTCAGATTCAAATGGGTACTGCGGGTTTTGCCGTTTTCATGGACTTTTATATAGCACAGTTAGTGGAGTCCAACCGTTCCATAAAGGTGTTTGTGCGTAAAGTAAGGCCGAGTTTGGCCGTTAGCTTTGCTATCCCCACAGTCTGCGAACTCACTTCCTTTAAATTTGGTTGCTGCTTGGCTTCCAAGTTAAAGGCCAATGTTAATTTTAACTTCCTCAGCCCACAAAAGTTCATCAGTTCACTGTCGAGCTGCACTTCCATCTTAACTAATCCATATGTTGCAGCAATTCACCGGTGCGTCTAATCAGTAATCTTTGAAGTCTAGTGGATTACCGTTGGATTTTGTGGAATATTTTTTGCGTGATGGTCTGCCATATATTATTACTACATGCTAATATCTACATAGAAACATTGATATTTTTTATTATATGGTTCCATGTAATGATATAATACACGCCAAAATGGTTTTGCAAAAGATTCCAAAATTCAAAATGGATGCTTTAGGATGCGGTAGTATTATCAGCCAGCATTATATAAGCCTTAAATCTGAACCACTTTTGACCATTCTGTGATTGTTGCCGCAACTAAAAATATAGATAGCTCTTTACGCTGGTTTAAGGAGGAAGCGTGTACTGTAGAAGAAATTTCTAATCAGAACAGAAAATGTTTTACAAGTGGAGCGATTCACGATAGTTTCAGTCTCCTGATCATTCAGGCCTAATCATTATAATTTCGCAAAAATTTCTAAGTTGCCTCATTTGTTACCAAATGGCATTTGGAAGTTGCAAATGAAATTTCATTTTGAGTGCTGGCCTCAGATGTTTTACCTTTCTCCTCAGTTGATAAGTATACCTAGACTGGACATTTAAGCTTCACTTTAAACGCTGCAGACACATTAGCAATCAGTCGCTTTACAGAGTCATAGGAAGATTGCTTCATGTGAAGAATGCCGTCTGTCAATTGGCTTAATGGAGTGCAGAAAAGTTAAGTAAGAATTCTTACCTTGCAACCGCTTGAGAAGCTCTAGTTGAGAGTAAATTACGACCAACAAAAAGATGAAACCCACTGGCAACACAGGTTTATATAAAGGCTTTGAGTAGACCACGGTTGTTATGACATTTAGAGCCACCAGCTTTTGGTGAGGTTAACACTGGCTTTTGATAAAAAAAGACAGCTCAACCGGAATTCGATTAACATGAGAATTGAACAAGAACGATTCTTTAAACTTTCACATCTAGTTCAATTTTCTGCTCAAAAGCTACACACACAGCTACACAGTAAAATTACCTAAACTCAAACTAGTCCAGTAAATAGTTTGTACTAGTCCTAGCGAAGAAAACGAGCTAATCCTATATAAAATATTATAATATGAAATATCTAAAAGCATTTTATGTCCATATTTAGTCAAATTAATATTTAGTCGCATTGTAATGTCGCTTGCGATGCAAAAGCGAATGACTGAAATTTCCTGATTAGGACGCCAGCAAAATGTTGGACTGTCAACACGCGCAGAGTACGTACTGTCGAGGTCGGTGAAGAAGGCTGCGTGAGGAAACGCCAATAAGTATTGTTATCACGTGCACAAAAAAACTGCGCGAATTTGTCTCACAGACGCTGTATCAATGAACACATACGTATGATGTCGGAAGTGTCTGTTTCATATAACCCAAACATATAGTCCCCCTTAGATCCAGAACACGAATGCTCAAACTTCAGGATCATTTCAGTCAATTTAATTCAAAATCCGAATTACAATGCTTTGCAAGCAGGAAGGTAGAATGGCATTTAAACTCTGACATACAAAACAGTTTAGTGACAGATATACGAGCTAGACCAAGTCCAGTTTTTTAAACACGATTCAAATGCTTGGCATGTGTAGCGTGATCTAGTAGCAGAGACGTAAAACTTCTGACGCAATAAGAAGAGCAGAGCATTCTGCACGCAAATCCAAATCTTTGATGTTGGTCAGCGCCTGCCTGGCACTGATCGCAGTGCCACCTGAAACCTGTTCGTCGGCGTCGGAGCAAACATATGTTGGTTGCTACTTTATACTGATGTACCATTACACAGGCACACACATGAGATAAATTGTATGGGCAACCGTTTTTCTAAAAGCACTCTTCTTGCTTACAGCATTCAACCTTGTCCCTCATTGAAACCATTAGGACTTTCAATATTCAGCATTTCATTGCGGCAAATTCATACTTTTTCGCAAAAATTCATGATTCTTAAATCCAAACAATGCAAAAATTATAATTACTAGCTTACTTTGAAGATCATTTGCATTCTCTTCCGCACAAAGAAGGTAAAATCCGCGGCCGCATTAAAACATAATTCTTACAGCGTCGCAAAGATGGTGATACTGTGGCCTGTTCTTGTGGATAAGTCGGTGGAGAAAGCCGCACGCATCAACATATTACATATAATTGTCCTCGCTGTCACTCATAAGACGAAATATTTCTGCTGGTAATAAATCTGCCTTTCGAAAGGGCTTTTATCTTGTAAACAAATCATACGCAAGCTGAAACGTCTGACAGCCCATAAAGTTGCTTTATTTTGATGGTAGACGTTTGTCATCTACTAAGGACTCTTGGAATTCGGGATCTCCATATCAGTTGTTTTTTAATCAATTCACAGTTAGGCTATAAGCGGGAGATCCGGGGTTCGGTCGGCTTCCACCCATGGTATATGAAATCGTTCGTCACCAAAGTTCTTCGTGCTGCCAGGGTTTCTCATGACCATATCGGTAACTCCGCATTCTCCACTGAGTTAGTTCGAACTACCTCCACCAAAGTAAAGAAGAATTTAGCCAGATCTAATCACTCACTCTGTGATTTAGTTGCGAATAACGCTGAGTTTTTAAAGACTACTTGGCAACATATAAGTTTTTTCTCTTTTTAGTATTGCCTACAGTTTCCTACATTATCCTACATAGATTTTTATGAGAAGATAGCTCATAAGTTCGTCACATCTGCCCTGTGAATATTTTGTCGTAAATTCACATTCGTTACGTTCGCTTCACCATTTTATTTGATATGATCTCCGGATTTATTTTACTTACGTATCGATGCTGTTGTTGGTTGTTGAAAGGACAGTGGAATAAACATATTGCTAATTTTCTCTGCACTAAAACAAATATTGGGGAACAAATTGATAACCCACATGCACCAACAATCGGGTCATTTTTATTTTCCATATACTGTTTTATTCTTCAAAACAATGTTACGTCAGTGATGATAATATATTGGCTTTTCAATATAGAACGTCCAGCTAGGTTTCCAGCTAGGCCCAAAAATAAATTCAGCCAGACATTTGAAACATAAGTGGAATATTTAGGTGTATGTATGTTGTAATCCATTAGAGGGTTTTTGTCCGCCACAGGTTGTCTTACACCAGGGTAAGAAAACCCAAACTAACGCGGTAGTTATCTGAAAAGTGACTGAAAAATGAATATTCTATTGATACAAAAAAACATCATCCTTCGGTTTGTAAATGACACCTGCAGTTTTCGGTTGTTTTGAAAATTCAATATTTAAAGGCCTTGTGAAATGAAAACAATTTCTCAAAAGAGTTTGGTAACCCATCAACAGCGGAAGAACTCAAATTATTTTTCTGCTATTAGTGAACTAACCTAACAGGCCCGCATTTGTTTCTGCGTCTGAAAATTAATTTAAACCAATAAGTCGCCTGAGAACACCGTTTATGAAGAACCATTATTATCCTACGGAACATTAAATGAGACACAAACGGATCAATGAATGCAAATCCCAGCCAATATGTTCTCGCATGGATCAAGAGAATCTAATTACGGAATCGTGGTCCTTACTGGATCAGAAAGTGGGAAAGAAGTATGCTTCAACGTAAATGATTTTCTTATTTACCAATGACGACTATATACTTCGTCCAATTTAATAGTGTTCATACATCCTAAGAGCATTTATCGAATGAGCGTACATTCAACACCACAAGAGCGTTCCTAACTCTTTGTATGCATGTATGTACATGGTATGAAACGTCTATTCACTCATTAAATGCACAGATATGCAACCCTATATTTCATTTTTATTTGGGCGCGTATTGCAACCTATGACGATAGAAAACATGTACCCGATTATATATATAAATATACCTACATATATGCATTTCTAATTCTGGAAATTGAATCATTCTTACTTCTTGAACTACCTGTTTGGAAGAAACGAACAACAAAATGGATCGTCTTCACTGCTATGTTTGAAGAAAAATCTCTAGAGCATTTTTCAGAACGAGCCATGCATTTACACCGTTTCCGCCTACGCATGTTTGTCTACAGCACGCGGCATTTCCACTCTAGAAGTGTTGTAACTTTATATCGGGACCCATGTACGGCGGCGTTTTTCATGCTGGCGATGTCTAAGTGAAGTTTACGGGAAATCGATTTTCCGTAATATCAATAAAAGCTTGCGTAATTTATACAACTGCCTGGCAAGTACAAAATCCAGCGAGACGTTTTATTGTTGGAAGAATATCCCAAAATTTAACGTCGGGTCGTTTCCCACGAAAAAAATCTGGAAAGTTGGTTAAAACAAATCAGAAATCAATATTGAGCAAATTAAATATGTGTGAATGTAAGTTACATATTCTGCGCTAACTTAATGATTAGGCTTTGCCATCAAGCAGCCATGTGTGTTAATAAAGCCATGGCAGTAACCAAATGTGTGAATTATTGCTCGTTCGTTTTTGTTTTCCTGTAATGCGCACGTGACTGGTGCATATAGTTGTTTGCAAAAATCCTGCCCTCATTTAAGGTCATTTTCGTTCAATACGATAATTAAATAGCCTTACGTCCCACCAAATTCTCCCTTTCTTAACCTGAGAAGATTGGCCAACATAATCATTTTGCGTGTAGTTTCATCATACGCATTTCTTTAATTTTTCAGCAATAATCAAAAACGTACTGTTAATCACTGCATTAGCTGTATGAATATATTAAATGAATGTTCCGATACTGGACGCAAAAAAGAGCTTCAGGTATCGATAACGTTTTTATGTTCACATCGGAAACTTTTTAAGCAATTTTAAGGTGATTTTCTAATCGTTGGGTCATTGACTTGCCCGACCATTTAGTTGCAGACGCTCAGTTATCAGTGGTGCGTTTTGCATTGGTATGCGGATTTGCTTCAATATCAGTGCACTCAATAGTATTACCAGAAAACTATTCTGCTGACTTTAACTCAACGCAGGTTTGTTCGTGTGACTTGTCGGTCGCCTGATTGGTTCGTAGATCATTCATAAAGTGCGTGAAACCATAACTTAATTTATCAATGTTCTATGGTGACATGCTTATGGCCTTTCTGGGTTCGACACTGCTAGGTGTGATGACGGGTCGATTGCCGAATTCGCTTATCGGTACAAATCTCTGCTCTAGTTTGGTGTACTTTTTAAAAAATGACAAAGTGCACCGCACAGGTTGGGCAATGTTGGGCATAAATGCGACAACTTTTGTGTGCAAACCATGAGGAAACTTGGCTGTTCACGGATGTTACTCATATGCAACACTTCAGGATATATATGGTGAAATGTGTATCAAAACACGGTTCTTCTGCATACTATGTGCTATCAGAACACATGTGCTATAGTAACAAAAAGTGGACGGATAAATACCAAATCATTTCAGAACATTCATCAAGGGTTTTTAGAACGCCAAGGCCATCCTCCTAAACATCGCTGGCCTACATCAAATGATTAATAGCAGGCTGACAATAATGCTTAGAGTAAACATACTAAATCAATCCACAAAAGCTCATGAAAAAAATTAAAACTGCCCGATAAACTGGCTGATCCGAAAAAGCCCTCAAGCCATTTACATAGTTTATTCCAATGAATTACGTGTGGCATCAATAAGAATCGCACCAAGATTAGCCGGCAAGTTTAGAGGTCCCTCAGGACAAATAAAGCGTTCAGTCCAAAGTATTCAGCAGTTCGGTGAAAGGAATGGTTTTTTTGATAAAAACCCTTTAATTGAAAAGGCTCTCGGCTAATAATGCTGGCATAATTCAATATTCGTACAACCTCTAAAGCCACGAGGCTCACCTGGCATTTTGCTTGCAACCTCGTATTAAATATCACCAGCTTAATTTACAAAGCTGCCGGTAAACTGCGAACGGCCCACGGGGTCACCAATAAAAGGCAAAATCAATATCATGTTAGATACCTCAAGGTTTCTCGACCATGCGCGGTTCTCGGTTATCGCAATTTACCAGTAAAGCGGTATTGCTCAACCGGCTGATCGGTGATCAGGCAAAGATGACGTAGACGCCGAGAAGCACAGCGCAGTTAGACTGCTTGGACCTGTATTTATTTTAGGGGCGGCTAACAAGTCCAACCTCATAGTATTGTGAAAGAATAAACGGAATTTTTGCTATTAGCACCTAACAATAAATGTTCTCAAGATCTCTGATGACAGAAGCATCACCGTGTCTAGCAGTGTCAGTAACCAACTGGCTAGATAGCCAAAGATTACCAAGCTTATATCGAGGTAAATTAGGCGACTCTGGACAAGAAAAACAGATAATAAAATCTATCGTGCCCACTTTTTGACATGACGATCCGTAAGTGGCTTCTATGTATGAAGACCACTGAAATGTGTTTCCTAGGTATGTGAACGCCTACTCAAAAGTCAACCGAAGGACGACAACCAGAATAGCGGGGGTAAATATTCACGTTAAGCCTCAACAACTTCAAACCGCTTTGTTTGTTTCGTATAATTTGGTTATTTATAAACTGAGTTGAGGTCTGGCGATGGAAAATCCTCATGCTCGACCGAACAACTAATCACGATCAAAGTTCATCCCCGGGTAGTAGCACATATCCTCATGCTCGAACAACTAATCACGATCAAAGTTCATCCCCGGGTAGTAGCACATATAATAATAATATGTAACACCAATCAATGCACAACCAACAACCCGCCACTACGCACCACTACGTTCCCAGATAACGCACTGATGATGTCACCTCGATTGGTGATGAAGAGTTTGCAATCAAATGCCCAGCTCAGCGAACAAGCCACCGACTACCATCTGCGCTACCTAAGCTACCGACATTTGTCTCTATAGAAAATAACATGCTGCGGCCAAGCGCAAAGTGGAACCTCTCGAGCGCCCTTCCATATTTTGAAAACTAATCGCAATATTGCTCCAGCATGAGGAAAGAAATGTTTCTACAAACCTTGCAACCATCATCGCAAATAAGATTTGCGTGCTACTGTCTAACGAAGGCATCCTGAGAGAGGAACGCCTTGAACGATAAACACTGCATCTTTGGTTGTTACGTGTGACAGGCGGTGGGTTGGTGTTTGTGCGCTGAGTAGTGCTACGTGTGTTTTAATATACGTGCTGCCAACTGAGGATGCCCTTTGGTCGCGATTAGTAGTTCGGTCAAAATCGATCTGTCTATCGGAGGACAACCGAGGCAAAATCGACAGGAACAATGTGACAAAGGTGCGTGATATCTGCATTAACATGACAGTACTGGCTGTCACACTGACAGACAGCTGCACATAAACAGTGTATATACATAGTTAACAAATCGCAGAGCGATTTTCAATTGATTTTCTTGTCTATATTTCTGTTCGTCTGATAGCATTTGCTACCAAATCAAGTTGAGCTAACGAAAGACTTACTGATATCCCCGGCTATAGCTGCAGTAGGGTATTGTAGAAAAACTTGTGGCCTATCACACATGAAAGTGACCCGCCATAAGCGT